TTTGCACACATGTGTGCTCGTGCCGTCCTCCCATTCGCTTCTTGACAGATTTCTGTTGCTAGTGTATGTGCCACACACTTAATGGCTTATGATAGTACCTGTTTCTTATCCTACAGTTTCCATGTATTAGAAACCCAGATAGGCATGTCTGGCCCAGTTCTCTGCTTAGGATTAACAGGACAAAGTCAGTGTGTCCCAGGATTGTGCTCCTTTCTAGAGGCTCTGGGAAGAGTCTATTTCCAGACTCAGCTGGCAGATCCAGTTCCATGAGATTGTAGGATTGAGGTCCCAGTTTCTGTGGCAGCTGTCGGCACGGGGTGGTCCTCATGCCAACAGGCTGTCCCGGTTCCTTGACTAGTGGCCCCTCCCTCTATCTCAAAGCCAGCTATGGTAGAATTCCATTCCTGCTCCCTGTCTCCCTGACTTTTCTTCTGTTTCCGTTTTCTGGCTTTTCTGCTCCTCATCTGCTTTTAAAAGCTCGTGTGACTTTGTCAGGTCCTTATGGATAATCCAGGATAATTTCCCTAATTTATATTCATCTCATTAGGAAACTTAACTCTTTATGCAAAAATTCTTTCACAACAGTACCTACATTAGTGTTTGAAGGAAAAAACCCAAGGGGTAGAAATCTTGGGGTACATTTTTAGATTTCTACCTACCACCCTCACACACACATAAACAGCAAAATGATAAAATTGGAGATTTTCCTGCGTGACTGTTTGCAGGAAAGGGATTTGTTTCCCTTTCAGAGACAATATGTGCTGTGATAATTCTGTGGTATTTACACATTTGGTGTTTAAACCTCACGGACTGCATTATGCATATCTTTAGGAATACTCTTTACATAAATTAGAATGATTTTCTTTTTCCTGAAAACACTGCAGCATGCCACACATTATGGGTGGAAATGTGGAACTGTTTACATCATGTGCCAATTTAAACTCTGTGAGAATTCTGATGTACAATAAAAATGTGCTCCTATATATGCCAAATTTTAAGTTTCCTGGGACTTTCCTTGCAAATATAATCACAATTTAATATTAAAAAGCTATTTAATTATACTATCGAGAATGTATCTGAGTTTTCCTGGCATTTAACAGAGAAAGTAATCCTAAAACACACCTCATTATTTTCCTCCATACCATTGCTTAGGAGTGTCCTCTTATCTGGGACAGATGAATTTCTCTCGTGTATGTGCAGAGTAGTAAAGCTTGAACATTATGATTACAGAGTCTGGGATCCATCTCCTCTCTCAACCTCACCCCCACCCCAGATCTCTAAGCTGGGCCATTTTGAGCAAGTCCTGTGATTCCTTAAGCTTTTTAGCACTCCAATCATGGGAATGATAATCTTGACTCTGAGATTTAATGAATGTCTAAGAAAATTCTTTATGAAGTGCTAGATACTCACTGGTTATACACCTAATTATACACCCAAACACACTCTCTCTCTCTCTCTCTCTGTGTCACACACACACACTCACATCTGTAGCTATTGTAACACTCATAGCTTTCTCTTTCACAGTTGTATTGAAAACTTCTGGGATCATTAGAGAAGATACGGTTTCTGAGTTTCTGAAATGTCCTTTGCAGAGGACAGTCTTGTAAATGAGAGCAAAAAAGATGAAGACTCACTTCTTGTGTTCCTAGCTCTGAAAATGAATTCACTCGGGGTGTCAAGCGCTAGCCACATCTGCATGATGTGCATTTTATTGCCTCACCATGGAAAGCCTGAGTGTGAATGTTGTTATATGAGGATGATATTCTTGTCCTTTAATGTGTTCAAAAATTTATTTACTTTGGAGAAAGAGTCACACTCTCTGCCTTTTGGGACATGTCCTTGAAATGTACCCTTCTAGAATTAAGATGCTCTCCTCAAATTGAACTTGACCACATCTGCAAATTAGAAAACCCAGGTTTCTTCCTGGAACGCTTTGCAATGACTTGAGATTCTCAGAATGTCTTGTTCTTCTCCGAGTCTCAGTCTCATCTTTGGAATAATGGGGCTCTTGCACGCTGGACTTAAGGTCACCTCCCTAGCTCAGGCCTGGCTGAGAACTCAGGGGTTGACATGAGACTGGAACTCAGAAGCCCAATGTGCACAAAAAGCTGGATTTCCCAACCTCTGTTGCAGCTTCTTCTCCATGAGGAAGAAACAGATATGTGTCCCCATCCCTCTGGCCCAGTTCTGCTGAGTTCTTGGGCACAGGAGAGCAGGGGTGGTACCTCTCCTGCTGTGTCCAGATGGCTTCTGCATATCATAGAGTAAGGGAATTAGCTGAAAAGGAGGAGCTATTCTTCTAGCCATTGGGTAGTGGCCTATCCCAAAATCACGGCCCCTAGAGTCAGGTGTCCTTAGGGGATCCAGTCCCAGGACCAGCACCTGCTTTGAGGCCCTCTTCTTCAGCTCTTTGAGGAGAGGGCAGTTGATATGTGGGGACCCCATGAGTATACCATCTTCAAAGGGAAATTTCTGCCCATCCCCATCTCCTGTCCCTGCCTCTACATACCTCTGGCATTTGCAGACCCTCTAGTCAGCCTGTGCTCCCATCTGTCCTGGCCCCTAACTCCTCTGGTTTCCATGGAGAAGCTGGCAGAGGATATGTGACTGACAGCATGTCCTTCTCCTGCAGCCCCTTCTGGGTGCCTGAGTCATGGGCTCTTCTCAGCTCCTTCCTTAGTCCCCCCTCCCCCACACTGACCAGGCTCCTGTGGTTCTTCCTTCTCATGATCCAAAGGTGACGTGGCTCACCCAGCAGGATGCAGCTGGGTCTAGGAGGAAGGCAGAGCTTTTCTGACATAAATCAGCTCTGGGGACATCTCAAGCACTGGGCTGCTGAGTGTCACATCATTTCAGGCCAGAGCACCTCCCAGGCTTTTATGGCAGTTCCTGGAGGAAGAGAGCTTCCTGGTCTTATCCTTCTGCAGCCTGGCTATGGACACTCACTGTGCCCCCGCAAAGCCAGCTATTCTGTCCCTCCAGCCTGATCCAGCATCTGGGTCCTGCACCTACATCGCATCCTTTGTTGCCAGTGCTTGCCCTGAGGAGCCCTGGTCTCCCTGGCAGGACGCCCTCTCGCCCTGGGCACTTTCTCTGATCTGTCCTGCAGAGTTTGGACATGCTCTCAGCCCCCTCCCAGGGTGGTGCTGGGTATTGCATTCTCCCATCAGGCCCTGGCACAGGCATGGGTCTTTCTCAGACATTCAGAGCCCCTACCCAGGGCCCTTGCTAAAATAGAAGCTCCTGGAAGGACTGACCGACTCTGAGGCAAACAGAAGCAGATTCTGTGTCTGACATCAAGGCTGCCCTCTGTGCACCCTGCACATTCTTCATGGGTGTGCAGCCAGCAGTGGACTCCAAGACTCAGGTTTGCAGCTTCAGGAGGCCCTGGCTTTTTATGACAGAACATTTTATATAGGACAAACTGTCTCTGCTGCAGCTCTGCAAACTTCAGCCCACCCCTTCACTTTTCCTTGGCTCTAAAACATTTTGTGTTTCTTACTTGTATCTGAAAATTACCCTCTACTTGTAAGATAGCCTAGGGCTTGATGTTATCTTTCTACCTTTCTACCTTATACTAAATATTATATACAAAACCAAAAGCTAGTAACTTCATTCTGCATGGCACAGTGAGGTGATCCAATAGCAATATTTGAGCCAAGACTGTTTCCTAAGTGGGTTTGAATTAAGAGGTTGTCTTTTAAATAACAATATGATTTGAAGCTTGACATAATTTGAGCTGTTCATTAGAAGTTTATGGTATTTAATTAATAGTTTGTATATCTGTGCTTGCCTGGCTCAGGGGTCCTTGCTTTTCTGACCCTAAGTCTCAGGGCCTGGTGATAGTACCTTGCTCCTCTGGGTCTTCGGACATAGGTAGGAGGTGGCATTCCAGATTTTCCTGGTTGAGAATTTCTCTAGAACCTGTGAAGATGCACATCCACCACATCCTGATTTCACCCTTGTAGTAATCCCATGTGAAGATGTTGCCTTATTTTAAAGAGGGGCCCTAGGGCCAAGCAGTTCAGAATCATTCTAATGTTACTGACCCTGTCCAAGAGTTGACTCTGAAACTCTGGCCACGTGGATGTTGTGTCCCCCTCCCCAAACCACCTGTCCTGACTCATGGAATGTTTAGAACTATTCACCTGGCAGAAATTCTAGCCAATTAGCTAAGAATTTCTAATTCCAATTTAGCTTAATTATGACCAAGTGTTGCTGGTTTTCTTCAAAAGATGTCATTAATGATCCTTGGTACCATGAGGTGGGCTAAGAATCACTGTGACTATCAAGATCTTAAAGTCAATACCTGATCACTATCCTTGATCAGTAGACAATTCTACCTTTTTTGTAGACCTAACTCTGATATGTTCATTCTTGAAAATCCTTGGACAGTAAGCAAACTACAAAAGTGAAGGTACGAATGCCAGTGTACTGGCAGCATAATTTTTATTAATGGGATCAAAGTCCTAAATATGTGACTTATATTTATTCACAAGATAATGCCTTTTGACAAATCTTCATCCCCCCAGGAGAAAATGAAAGGTACTGCTTCATAAATCATTTGATTTGTATTCCTCTCCAGAATCTTGTACAGAGCACTTACATTGGAATTGTTGAAAATCAAGTGATTCACAATTGTACAGTTGCCCAAATTAAAATATGAGTGGAATCTAAAATAAGACTCCTGAATTTTCCAAGCTGAGAAGAGGTCTAGGTAATTACCCAAGCCAGGGCAACGTTTTGCAAATGAGGAAACAGAGGCCCCAGGGACATTTCTGATCCATACAGAATCAATATCTCTGTAAGGAAAAAAGGGACACTTCCTTGTGTATGCTTTTTTAAAGTAAGTTACTTGCAAAGTGTGTGTGTCTGTGTGTATAAACCCTGGTTTCTCACCTACACATCTTAATAGTCATAAGAATAGTGTTCAGGCCGATGATACCTTTTTACATTTTTTAAAGAAAAAGAGCAAACGTTCTTCTTCTCTTGCGTTTCAGTGTGGCAGCCTGTCCAGATGTGATGCTCCTTTAAAGATCAGGACACCTGGATGCTTCTGAGTCCTGCCAGGACTTGACTGTGTGGTAAGCTGCCTGTGTGGGGGGGACCCAGCTTCTCAGCTGTAAGAGGAACTGACAAAAATAAAAAGATCACTAACAGAGATAGTGGTTGTGGATGAGCCAGCAGAGCTGCCCCTCAATAAGGGTGGGGGAATGCCGTCTGGTGAGAACACTTAGTTCCTAACCCTGCAGTGCTGATCCATTATGACTGTAATTGTTGGTCAGATAGACATTTTTAAAAGTTTATATTTTCTCCAATGCAAAATATTTTTAGAATTGATATTGCTTTTTTATGGCATAAAGTCATAACACATTGATATTTACTTCTCAATATTCTTTTTTTTAAATACATGTAGGAAAGGTGTCAGTTTATAAAATTAGTATCAATGCTATTGTGACTATTTGGAATTGGTAACATAGAACTTGGTCTAGTCACACTCATTGGAGCAGATATGGCCAGGAAGCCCCAATTGTCTTCTCGTTGACCCTGTGTTGGAGCAAATTAGGGCGTTGTGTTATCAAATCCCCAAGGAGCTTGAGAAACACCGCATCCAAAACCTGGCTGCTACAGAGGAAAAATTTTCCCTCCCTTTGAATAAGTTTTGTGAAAGCCTTTCTGAATAAAGGCTATGAACTAATCCTCATCATTCATTATATTTAAATAGCATAGCATTCCAGTGGGATGCTTTTCCAGATGTTTCAACAAGTGACACCATTTGTTTGTGGTTCGTGTTAATAGCTTTTGCAGTAAAATGTGGTTTTAAAACTTTTGCTCTTACTAATAAGAATTAAAAATTCATCTTTGAATCCTTTATTTTTCATCTTTTTTTAATTTTAGAAACCTATTCTTCTATAGCAGGTATCTAGTATTTGTTAGGATTTAACCTTAGAAGATGCGGATGTTATGTAGTTTTTCTAACAGCGATCTCACATTTGAGGTCTAGTTACTTCAGAGCAGAGACTCAAACACAGGATTTTAAAATTCTGGCACACATCTTTGAAGGATTGGTCGTATGAAGGTCATTACATCTATATCTCTGTGTTCAAGGGGATCCAGGGATGTAGAAAACATGTATCTGGGCCTCACTGGCATTCATTCTGCTAATGCTGGGGAAGCAGTTCTGATGCACAAAAACTGAAAGGGCAAACAAAGGAGATGTATTTCACATAGCCAGGGTGGGCCAAGGATGCCGGGGAGGGCTTCAAGGTCAGTGAGGCCTAAGTTCAGCCAAGCAGGGGCAGGGCCAGGTGAGCAATGGGAAACGATGGAACCTGAAAGGGGAAGCAGGGAGGCAGAGGAGCCTGGTGGAGATGAGGGAGACAAGTATAGATAGAGGATGCCAGTGGAGACAGGTGGGTACAGGAGGAGACAGGGCAGGCAGGTGGCGACAGACGGAGGACGCTGAAAGCCCAGCCCAGCCATGGTTCCCATTCGTCCTGATCACCTATCTTATATATTCATCATTCTCAGAACTCTGCTCTAACTCTTACATTTCCTTGATTGAATGACCTAGATGCTGTCAGCCTCATAGAAGAATTCAGTCTGCGTAGTCTATCAAATAAGGCCTGTACCAGGCCCCTGCCAGCCTTCGACATCTACCACCCATCCCACCACGTCCAGACTAGCAGCCCAGCTGATGGACAACAACCACTTCCCTCACGCCCCTCACACAAGTCATTGTTCCTTTACTGGGAAGTCTTCCGTGACTTCTTCCCTCTCTCACAGGGTGGAGTCCCTCCTGCTTCTGGGTAACTAGCGCATCCCTTTCTGTGCAGGGCATTGCTGCTCTCCTGCTGTGGGCCAGGCTTCATGCTAGGTGTTGAGACACAGCTGAATCCTGGATGGGCATCCTGATGTCAGAAGACAGGAAGAATAGTGCACAGGGCAGCTGTCTGTCTCGGTGCCCTTCCCATGTTGCTGTCACCCCTAGTTCCAGGAGACTGTGAGTCTCCTGCAGACGAGGCTATGCCTTTTCTCCTGCACTCTTGGTGCCTGGCAGCTGCCAGTGCTGAGGCGGTCCAGGAAGTACTTGTGGGATGAACAAAGGAAGGGTTTCCCCCGTGAGCCCCTGTAGAGAGGAGTGGACCTGGGTTGGAGGCACCATGCTGGCAAAGGGCTCCTTGACCTGGAGAATGAAGAACTGACAAGCAGGGAGGGTGAGAAACAGTGGGGCTGGTCTGCCCTCCTAAGGGAAGGATGATGCCCTATAACATCTGAGATCAAAATTAGCATCACTGAAAGACAGCTCTTTGCCCAAAAGTTAAAATGCAGAGCTTCAGATTAAACTCACCTTCCTACTAGAGCCCTCTGACTGCTCCTTCCGCATCCCAGGATCCCTGAACAGCTGTCAATCAGCAACACTGGGGACAGTGTCTGTTTACTTAAGGTGCACTCGGTACCCACCCTGGCACAGGAGCCTGGGGATCTCAAATGCAAATGCCAGGAGGTGCCAGCCCTGGGCAGGTGAGCCAGGCTACCGTGGTGGCAGCTCAGGGTCAGCCCCCGTAGGCACACCTTCTGATTTTCAAGAGAAATAAGGCATCTAGAATTTTTGCTTGAAATACCACAATTTAAAAATATAGAAAATATAATTTTTAAAAAAATTTGCCATGTGAGCTTAACAGGCTCTGTTTCCTGGCTGACAGCTGGTTGTCCACCCCAATAGCTGTGTGTTAATAAATTCTTGATTATTTCTTTACTTCTAGATATCCATTTCCCCAGCCTTTCTGTAAACAACTCAACCTCTTCTATCTTGCTAAAACCACATGTGCCAAGTCCTCAGGGGGTTGGTAGAGGTTCTGTCATCCTGATTTATTGCCACAGGTCCTGGGGCCCTTGTTCAAACCAGGTAGTTGCCAGAGTGGTGAACAGGTAAGGGCCAAGTGGTCCAGCCCTCTCTGCAGGCCAAGTACAGAGCTACGGGCTGGAACCTGGACACGTATTAATCTCATTAGTACAGCCAAGACTGTTGCCAGTGGGAGGAAAGGCAAAAAACCAGGCAAAATGTTGATATATCTGCAAAGCTGAATGGCTTTTATTTCTTCAGCATTGGGGATTGAACCCAGGGCCTCATGCATTCTAGGCAGTTGCTCTACCACTGAACTATATCCTAGCCCTTTTATTTTTATATTTTAAGACATAGTGTCGCTAAGTCATATAGGCTGGCACCAAACTTACCGTCCTCCTGCCTCAGCCTCCCAAGTACTGAATGCCTTTCTATAACATTTCACAGGAAAAAAATAGGTCAGCATGACTCAAAACTCAGGCCAAGTCCCCTGCAGTCCACGCAAAAGTGTTTAGAGCTCCCTTGCCATGCTTGGAAGCTGGAGGTCACGTGTCAAAAGTAATGAGCATGCAGAGAAATGAAAAGAGAGCCGCAACGTCGAGGAAGATATTTTAAGCAAAGGGAGCCAAGGAATCATACTCCATCTGCTAGCAGTTGGAATTTGTAAACATCACCAGGATAGAAGAATATTAAGGAAATGAGGAAGCTGGGGCTTTTGTTATTATGCATCAATTTAAAATAAAATTTTTTTTTGGTACTGGGGATTGAACTCTGGTCTTTGCGCTTGCACAGCAGGTAAAATAAAACTTTTAATACAAAGGTTTTTAAACTGTATGAAATTCTTGATGTACGAGCAAATCAGCTAACAAATTCATGCCTTTGTAGACACTCAGTTTGATCCTTTGTCATTAGAGCTAAAAAAAAAAAATCAAGTCATATAAAGTGTCTGCAAGGAGTAGATAGACACACTGTGCTGTATATAAATACTATGCAACCATCAAAAGGAAGGAAATGCTGTCATATGTTCCAACATGGATGAGCTTGGAATATATTATGCTAAGGGAAATAAGCCAGTCATACAAGAACAAAGACTGTATAATTCCCCTCACATAAGGTCTCTAGAGTAGTCAAATTCAGAGACAGAAAGTGGAATAGTGAGTGCCAGGGGGTAGAGGGAGGGAGAGGGAAGAGTTCATGTTTATTGGGGCTAGAGCTTCAGCTTGGAAGATGAGGACATGCTAGAGATGGATGCTGGTGATGGTTGCCAAACAATGTGAATGTTTTTAATGCCATTGAATTGAAAAAGGGCTAAATGGTAAATTTTATGTTGCTTGTATGTTACTACAATTTTTAGAAAATCACACAGGAGTAAAACATAGGGCCACACCTGATCTCAGGGCTGTGACATCTTTGAGACTCGTTTAATTCCTTTAGCGTAGTATATGCCAGGATCATCTGTGTTGAAACATGTGACAGCATTTCCTTCTCTGTTCCTCAGAAGCAGTTTGTACCACATGGGCTAGGATACCTTAGTGACTTCATGGCTGAACAGAAACCTTAGCTATTTTTTCATAACTCTATCTTTCTCTTCCTGACTCTACCAGGATTAGCACATCCTGTCCTAATGAAAACAAGAAGACTCTTTAAACTCTAGAGAGGGCATTTAAGGAAATTCTTCCTGCACATGTTGTTCAGAGCAAAACTTTTCACACATTTGTGTTTTTCTACATCCTAGATGGGTATAAGTTTATCTAAAAGTCTGGAGTATGGCAAGATAATTTAAAGTTTTCCTTTATTGTCTGTAAGGAACCCACAAAGGTGTTTGACTGCCAGTATCTTGCTTTTTGTAACCAGCATGTTGATAGCTTGGTTATCCTCTCTTAGCTTAGCCACCATTTGCTGCCAACCTAAGGGCTTTGGGGATACTTTGTGGTTCCATTGATTCCTACAGTTTTTAACGCATGCAAGAGCTTTCCTAGCTCTTCCCACAGGGCAGGAGATTATGGGGACGCTGCTTGGACCTCCTGGCTCATCACAGAGTCCAGCCCAAGGAAGCTCAGTGAAGTCCCCTCCCACAGAAAAACACTGGGACAGTCATTGTGAGGTTCCACCCACCAAGGTCCCAATGCCCAGGAAGTCCTGCTGTCCAGACTGAGCCAGGGGCTTCTTGGGCAGCCAGGAACCTCTGATTTCATTCTCTCAGGCAAATGGAATTGGAGAGACTCAAACCACTCATTC